TGCCGGCATAAACTGCACCGGTTGGAACCGGTGCAGTTTATGCCGGCAGAAACGCGATCAGACTCACCCTCCTGTCTGCAGAGCCCTCCGGTGGACGCCCGCTGACACGCTGCGGGCGTCTGCGTTTTTTTAAAAAAGGACTGTTTGAGCATGCGCACAGGCAGCCATTCAGAGAATGGCGATTTTTGTGCATGCTCAACCCCCCCCTTACATTTAAACTTTAAAGGTAAGCACTTACCTTTAAAGTTTAAAGCCCAACCTGGCCTCGTTTCAGTCCCGGACTCCTCCGGGACGGTAAAGTAAGGTGTTTTTTTTTCTTCACAAACGCCTGAGCGCATATCGCTTAGAGGTAAAAAAAAATGGTGGGGGAAAGCCGGAAGCCTCAGGCTTCCGATGGAAGTGGCTAGGCACCAGTGGAGAGCGATCAGACACCGGTTTGTATCGGAAGCCATCGTTGTACTCTGGATACCACCACTTGGGACCTAGTGGCAGAGTACAACGGTGTAAACGGCTTTGTAACGGTTAGGGACGGGAGGCAGATGTTCGCCATGTGAACGCCAGCGCTGTCTGAAGACGTTTCCATGGTCATGTGGCCGGCATGACTAAACACCAAGGCGCATCACTCCATCATGCAGCAACTTGGGTCTCGAACTGCTGAACTACTGACCTTCCACAGCCTGCAGTTCAGCGTCTTAACCACTTGAGCCCCCGCAGCTTCTACCAAGCTAGGCCCCCCCCCCCCAAACATCCGATAGTGCGTTTGCTTGCATTTCTCCCCAGTAAGTTTCATGGTTTTTAAATTAGTTTCAGACTTCATTTCCAGCCTATCAGGACCAGGGCCCATGACTCAGTGGCAGAGCATTACATGCCAGCAGTTCAACCCCTTCCTGGCAATGCTCCCTCTAAGCAGTGGAGTCTTGTGAGCAAAAATTCTACTTTGTAAGCCACTGGCATTAAAGTTGTGAGCGAACGATTGGGCTACTGCATAAATCAGTTTGCTCTGGAGCCACCCTTCCTGAGCGAAGACGTAAATGTGTGAGCCAGAGGCTAAAAAATGGAGCTAGCTCGCACTCAGCTTAAAGGGAACAGTGGGGGGGCATCTTTCTTTTGCACTCATAAAGGTTTGCAAATTGGTGCCACCCACAACAAAAAGAGCTTTGCGTGACTTGAATTTGGGGGTGCAGCAGGCCTTAATGGCAGGGGTCATTAAGCCCACCCACCCCCTTACAGACACATCAGGATCTCTACCAGAATCATCAGCTTCCATTTTTTGACAAGTCTATGTCTCTAGCCCTTTTTCTTGTGGAGATAGAAGTGATATTTTTCATCATCATCATCACCATCATCACCATCATCACCCATCATCACCCATCATCATCACCCATCATCCATCACCCATCATCCATCATCAATCATCAATCATCATAATCAATCATAATCAATCATCAATCATCAATCATCAATCATCATCATCAATCATCATCATTTTTTGCATCCATTTATACTTCAGCCTTCTCCCCTCTGAGGAGCTTACCTCATTCTCCTCCCCTTAATTTTATCCTCCCAGCAACTCTGCAAGGTAAGGTAGGCTGAGATGTGTGACTGGCCCGAGGTCACCCAGCGAGCTGGATATGTTAGAGTTGGAAGGGACCTTGCAGGTCATCTAGTCCAACCCCCTGAACTCTTCAGGAGCACAGCCGAAAGATGGTCATCCAGCCTCCGCTTGAAAACGTCCAGAGAAGGAGCCTCCACCACCTCCCGAGGCAGTCTGTCCCACTGCTCAACCACCCTTTCAGTGAGGAAGATTCTCCTGATTTTTAGCCAGTATCGACTCCCTTGTAGCTTCCACCCATTAGATCTTGTCTTGCAATCTGGAGCAAGAGAGAATAGATCCACTCCCTCTTCTACATGACAGCCCTTCAGATACTTGAAGACTGCAATCCTGTCCCCTCTAAGCCTTCACTTTCCCAGGCTAAACATACCCAACTCTTTCGGCCTTTCCTCATAAGACTTGGATTCCAACCTTCTCACCACCCTGGTTGCCCTCTTCTGGACACGCTCGTCAACATCCTTCCTCAAATGTGGTGCCCAAAACTGGACATCTTGACCCTTCCGTGACGCCTGCTCTACGAGTAAGAATGTCACACACACATCCATGTCCCTAACCCAACCTTGACCACTCCATAGAATACCAGCAGCACATACCATGGGTGGAGGAGGCAGAGGACGGCAGCTCAGCCCAGGAGACAAAGCATCCTACGACGTGGAGGATGAGCCTGGGACTCATGGTGCTCCCCGGAGATGGGCCCGAATGTCCTGGGGTGAGATATGACCCCTCTCGCCCCGCCCTCCTCTCCTGGGGCTGGGTTGAGAGCAGTGTTCCCTCTCAGCTGAGTGTGAGCCAGCTCACAGTTTTTTAGCCTCCGGCTCACACATTTTTGTCTTGGCTCAGGAAGGATGGGGCTCCAGAGCACAGTAATTTATGCAGCAGCCCAATCGCTCGCTCACAAGTTTAATGCCGGGAGCTCACAAAGCAGAATTTTTGCTCACAGGACTCCACACCTTAGAGGGAGTATTGGTTGAGAGGGAAACGAGAAACAGATGAGGCCCCTGGTCCGGCCGGTTTGGTGTGGTGTGAGAAGCAAGGAACGGGTCTTGGCCGGACGGAACCAGGAAATGACCGCAATGCCTCTGGCTCAAAACACCTTCTCAAAGATCAATGACTGCCTGGGGCAAGGGAGGACCGCTCCAGACTGGAGTGCGGGAGGGAAGAGGAGACTCCCCCCTCCAGGCGTGGAATGTCCCCTTTGCCCTCCTCAGGACTGGTCCTGTGTCTGGAGGCAGCCCATCTGGGGCACTGAGTCTGGGGGCAAAGACAAGGGAGGAGGTCTGCTTTCTCTCCCCCCCCCCCCCCCCCCGCTTTTCAGGTCCTGAAAGCAAAGGAGGAGCTCTGTTGCTTTGCCGCCATAAAGCTGCCAAAGGCTCCCAGTCAGGGAGTGAATGAATTGCAGAGTCCGGCTGGGCAGCCCAGGAAGAGATGGTCCTGTGGAAATGGCAGCCTTTCCTTTCACGGCTTGCTGAAATAACTGCTCCCCTCCCAGCCTCCATCTTGAACCCTGGAAACGCCTTCCACCTGTTGAATTGTGCTCCACAGTGGATTTGCGTACTGCCACCATAGAGACCTGCTTGATGGAACAAGGTTGCAATGGCAGATTGTTGTCTGCCTGTCTGTCTCCCTCTCTCAGCTAGTCCTCCCAGCTGCCACGTGGCTTCTTCGAAAAGGCAGCGCAGAAGGGTGCCACCACCCAGCAGCCCATTTCCCGTGTGATGTGCAAAGCAGAGACTATCCCACGAACAGAAGAGAAGTCCAGGGGGCGCCTTAAAGACGAACGACATTCATTCCAGTCACATCGTCAGGGCCAAATGGCAGCGATGGCTTTTGATCCAGAGAGACCCGCAGACACCCAGCAGCTGTGGGGGAATGGCTTCTAAGAAGCAAAGGAGACCCCCGAATGGGCTAGGAATCCCCCCCCAGGCAGAGGAAGAGCTCCCGCACCCCCTCCAGGCTGTTTTCCTGCTTGGGAACAGTGTGGGGGAGGGGTATTTCCCAGTTTTTGCTGCTCCATGTGGAGTCTTTAAGGTGCCACCAGGGATAATTAACCCGTGGAATTCACTGCCACAGGAAGTGGTGGCAAGCACGGACAGCTTCAGGAGGGGACTGGAGAAAATATGAGCAGTCAGTGTGATGCGATGGCGAAGGAGGCAAAGTCAGCCTTGGGTTGTATTAAAAGGGCCACAGCATCGAAATCGCAGGAGGTCACACAGCCCCTCTGTAGACCGCCTTGGTCAGGCCACACCTGGAGTACCGTGTGCAGTGCTGGAGGCCTCACTTGAAAAAGGATGTGGGCAAAATCATCGAGAGGGTGCAGAAGAGAGCGACGAGGATGATCAGGGGTCTGGAGACTGAGCCCTACGAGGAAGGGCCTCGGGCCTCGGGAATGTTTAGTTTGGAGAAGAGAAGATTAAGGGGGACACGGTTGCTCTCTTTAAGTATCTGAAAGGCTGTCATTTGGAGGAGGGCCAGGAGCTGTTCCAGGTGGCAGCAGAGGACAGGACCCAAAGCAAAGGGTTTAAATCGCATGCAGAAAGGTATCGGCTGAATACTAGGAAAAAAATTTTCACGGTCAGAGTGGTTCAAAGGTGGAATCAGGTGCCTAGGGAGGTGGTTAGCTTCTAAGAAGAGGTTGGACAAATATTTGTCAGAGATGTTTTAGGCTGGTCCTACATTGGGCAGTCCAGCCTACCTAGCAGTTCGAAAGCAAGAAATTGCAAGTAGATAAATAGGTACCACTTCGGTGGGAAGGTAACAGCGTTCCATGCACCTTGGTGTTTAGTCATGCCGGCCACATGACCACGGAAACGTCTTCAGACAGCGCTGGCTCTTCGGCTTGGAAACGGAGATGAGCACCGCATCCCTAGAGTCGGATTCGACTGGCTTTCAAGCAAGGAAACCTTTACCTTTACATTGGGCAGGGGGTTGGACTAGATGGTCTGTATGGCCCCTTCCAACTCTATGATTCTATGATTAAACATCTGGAGCAGAGGTCCATCAGAGGCTATCAGCCAGAAGGTGTAAAGGTAACAGTCTGTCTGGGGCAGTGGTGCTCTGTCATTTTGGTGCTTAGAAGGCCAGAGTGGGAGGGCTCCCGAAGTTCTGGCCCCACTGCTGGATGGCTTGATGGCCCCTGGGTTTTGGCCACTGTGTGAGGCAGAGTGTTGGACCGGACCGGATGGGCCGCTGGCCTGGTCTGCCATGACTTCTAACCTTCTGGGTGCTGGTCCTGTCTCTCTGGCCAGGATCGGTGCCAGTCGGAGACGCGCCCCCTCTGCAGAGAGTGAGAGGCAGTCCCGCGGACACAGTGCCCGGACGCAAGCAGTCCACCCCCCCTCCCCTCGCCAGTTACATGTCTCCACCCACAGGCAAGTTCAGAGGCTGGGAGCTCAGACTGGTTCTTTATTGGGGTGGGGGGGGGAGATCGGGTACAGGGCTGGGTCACATCTCGACCATCTGCTATTCTCCCCCTCCAGGAAGGCAGCCAAGGAGCCTGGCTGCGGTGCGGTCCTGGTCCTGGTCAGCAGAAGAAACCTGGGGATAGCGGGCAGGGGGCTGCTGCTGCCACCGCCGTGGCCCGCTCAGACTCTCGGGGACCCTGGAAAAGAAGAGAAGGGCGGCGTCATCAGCCCCAGGTGGGTCCACACCCCTGCTTGTGCTTGGCCCCTCCTGGGGAGAGCCACCGAGAAACGACTGGGGGATGCTGCAGAGATTAGGTACGGCCCAGACTGGGCCAATCGCATCGGATCCTGGAAGCCACACAGGGTTGGCCCCGGTGGGTCTTTGGAGGGGAGACCACCCAGGAAGCCCAGGGCTGCTGCCACGGCCGACTCCCACCCGGGCCCCCAGCAAGGAGGCTGCAGACGGGTGAGGGATGACAGAAAAGGGGGGAGGGAGGGAGGGCCGCCGATGTGGGGCAGAGGACTGAGTTCCTGCAACTGGCCCCTCCTCCCCTAACTGCCCCAGCCCTCCTTCAGGTTTAGTGGTGGGGCCATGGCTCTTTGGGAGATCATCTACTTTGGGAGCAGGAGGTCCCGGGCACGTTCCCCCAGCGCCCCCACCTGAAAGGGACGTTGTTTTCGGGTTGTGTGTGTGTCTCAGGTGAAGCCCTTGCCTGGTGCCGGGGACAGGCCAGGAGCAGTGTTCTCTCTAAGCTGAGTTAGTGTGAGCTAGCTCACAGTTTTTTAGCCTCTGGCTCACAGGTTTTTGTCTCAGTTCAGGAAGGATGGCTCCAGAGCGAACTAATTTAGGTAGCAGCTGAATCGCTTATTCACAACTTTAATTCCAGGAGCTCACAAGACTCTACAGCTTAGAGGGAGCATTGGCCGGGAGTCACACCGGAGCAAAGCTACAGCCTCCAACTCCCCTTTCTGGCAACATGATTCAGGCTGTGTCTGCACTTCGGTCTCAACGTGGACCGAGACCCCGGCCGGCTTCTGCACCTCTGTCTGCCCCACCTCTCTCGCCCCATCCCTGCCTTCGAAATCCTGCTCATGCTCAGAAGCACAAAAAGAACACTGCAACACTCGAGCACACGAAGCTGCCTTAGACAGGATCAGAACCACTGGTCCAGCCAAGACAGTTCGGCCCACTTGGACGGGCTGCAGCCCAACAGGGTCTCAGGCAAAGAGGTCTTTCCCATCACCTCCTGCCTGGTCCTTTTAACTGGAGATGCTGCCGGGGATTGAACCTGGGACCTTCTGCATGCCAGGCAGAGGCTCTTCCACTGAGCCACAGCCCCTCTTGACAGCACTCCAGGGTCTCAGGCAGAGGTCTTTCCCATCACCTCTTGCCCGGTCCTTTTAACTGGAGATGCTGCCGGGGATTGAACCTGGGACCATCTGCGTGCTGAGGAGATGCTCTTGCCCAATGTACAGCTGTTCTGCGGAGCTCCCAGGGGTTGAATTCCCTCCTTGTGCCCTGGTGGCGCCCACATCAGAGGCCAGGCCGTGGCATCAGTGCCGTGGACTTCCCTTACCTCCAGAGACCTTCCTGCACTCGCGGCCACAGCCGTTGCTGCAGCATTTCTCTCCTGCACGACAGTCGCTGTCCTTTCTGCACTGATCCACGCAGGCTCCAGCGCCTTGAGGCTTGGGGCATTGTCCGAGAGACCTCGGGGGACGCACTGGAAGGAACACAGAAGGGCTGAGAGGCAAGGGGAGGGGGACCATTCCAGGCAGCGGGCAGAAGAGGGCACGTGGGTATGGCTGCCAGCCAGGACAGCTGATTCCCCCCACCAACCTGGGGGGGGATACTGTGGGTAAGGTTGCCAATCTCCAGGTGAGACCTGGAGATCTCCCAGAATCTCAACAGCTCTCTAGACTACAGAGCTCAGCCCAGACCAGTTCTCCTGGAGAAGACGGCTGCCTTGGAGGGTGGATTCAGTGGCCTTACACCCCGCTGCGGACCCTCCTCTACCCGAACCCCACCCTTCCCAAGCCCTTAGGTATGGCCCAGACGCGGTATGGACTTGGTATGGCCCAGACTATGCCAATCTCATTGTATCCTGGAAGCCACACAAGGTTGGCTGAGGTGGGCCTTTGGAGGGGAGACCACCCTGGAAGTCCCAGGTTGCTGCGGAGAGGCAGGCCACGGCCGACTCCCACCCGAACCCCCAGCACGGAGGCTGCAGACTGGTGAGGGATGAGAGGACATCTTGGGCAAGGGAGATTAGGGGGAAGGGGGGGAGGAAGGGCTGCCGACGTGGGGCAGAGGATTGCGTTCCTGCAGCTGGCCCCTCCTCCCCTAACTGCCCCAGCCCTCCTTCAGGTTTAGTGGTGGGGCCGTGGCTCTGTGGGAGATCCCCTGCTTTCGGTGCAGAAGGTCCCGGGCACGTTCCCCCAGCACCCCCATCTGAAAGGGACGTTGTTTCAAGGGAGTCTCTGGCGAAGGCCTTGCCTGGTGCCGGGGACAGGCCGGGAGTCAACCTGGAGCAAGAGCCCCCCAGTTCTCCTTTCCAGCAACATTCAGGCTGTGGAGACCCCAGGTGGCTTCAGCACCTCTGTCTGCCTCGCCTCTCTCACCCCATCCCTGCCTCCCAAATCCTGCTCATGCTCGGAAGCACAAAAAGAACACTGCAGCACACAAACACACGAAGCTGCCTTAGACCGGATCAGAACCACTGGTCCAGCCAAGACAGTTCGGCCCACTTAAACGGGCTGCAGCTCAACAGGGTCTCAGGCAAAGAGGTCTTTCCCATCACCTCCTGCCTGGTCCTTTTAAATGGAGATGCTGCCGGGGATTGAACCTGGGACCTTCTGCATGCCAGGCAGAGGCTCTTCCGCTGAGCCACAGCCCTTCCCATAGTTCTCCAGGGTCTCAGACAGAGGTCTTTCCCATCACCTCCTGCCCAGTCCTTTTAACTGGAGATGCTGCTGGGGATTGAACCTGGGACCTTCTGCATGCCAGGCAGAGGCTCTTCCGCTGAGCCACAGCCCTTCCCATAGTTCTCCAGGGTCTCAGACAGAGGTCTTTCCCATCACCTCCTGCCCAGTCCTTTTAACTGGAGATGCTGCTGGGGATTGAACCTGGGACCTTCTGCATGCCAGGCAGAGGCTCTTCCGCTGAGCCACAGCCCTTCCCATAGTTCTCCAGGGTCTCAGACAGAGGTCTTTCCCATCACCTCCTGCCCAGTCCTTTTAACTGGAGATGCTGCTGGGGATTGAACCTGGGACCTTCTGCATGCCAGGCAGAGGCTCTTCCGCTGAGCCACAGCCCCTCAGTGTACAGCTGTCCTGCGCAGCCCCCTTGGGTCGAATTCCCTCCTTGTACCCTGGTGGTACAAGGAGGGAATTTGCACTCAATTTGCCAGCAAATTTGCAAAACGCAACAGTGGCCAGTATACATTCCAATCCCAAAGAAGGGCAATGCCAAGGAATGTTCAAACTATCGCACAATTGCACTCATATCACACGCTAGCAAGGTCATGCTCAAGATCCTACAAGCTAGGCTTCAACAGTACGTGGATAGAGAACTACCAGAAGTACAAGCTGGGTTTCGAAGAGGTAGAGGAACGAGAGATCATATTGCCAACATTCGCTGGATTATGGAGAAAGCAAGAGAGTACCAGAAAAACATCTACTTCTGCTTCATTGACTATGCTAAAGCCTTTGACTGTGTGGATCACAACAAACTATGGCAGGTCCTTAAAGAGATGGGAGTACCAGACCACCTCACATGTCTCTTGAGAAACCTGTATAAGGGCCAAGAAGCAACAGTTAGAACCGGATATGGAACAACTGATTGGTTCAGCATAGGAAAAGGAGTACGACAAGGATGTATATTGTCGCCTTGCTTATTTAATATATATGCAGAGTACATCATGCGAAATGCTGGCCTGGATGAATCACAAGCGGGAATTAAGATTGCTGGGGAAAAGATCAACAACCTCAGATATGCAGACGATACCACTCTAATGGCAGAAAGTGAAGAGGACCTAAAGAGCCTCTTGCTCAGAGTAAAAGAGGAGAGCGCAAAAGTGGGCTTGAAGCTCAACATCAAAAAAACTAAGATCATGGCATCCGGCCCCATCACTCCTTGGCAAATAGAAGGGGAAGCTGTGGAAGTAGTGACAGACTTCACGTTCCTGGGATCCCAGATCACCGCAGACTGTGACTGCAGCCATGAAATTAAAAGACGCCTGCTCCTTGGGAGGAAAGCGATGGCGAACCTAAACAGCATGATAAAAAGTAGAGACATCACCCTGCCAACAAAAGTCCGCATGGTCAAAGCAATGGTATTCCCAGTAGTCATGTATGGCTGCGAGAGTTGGACTATAAGGAAGGCCGAGCGCCGAAGAATAGATTCTTTTGAACTATGGTGCTGGAGAAGACTCTTGAGAGTCCCTTGGACTGCAAGAAGAACAAATCAGTCAATCCTCAAAGAAATCAACCCTGACTGTTCCCTGGAAGGCCAGATAATGAAACTGAAGCTCAAATACTTTGGCCACCAAATGAGAAGGGAGCACTCACTGGAGAAGACCCTGATGCTGGGAAAGATTGAAGGTCAAAGAAGACGGGGACGGCAAAGGATGAGATGGTTAGACAGTGTCA